TCCTGTGGAGCAATTGCTTTTGGATGCAGTTGGTAAATCGGAGAACATGGAAGTTTCTTCGTATGTTTTTTGCATCGTGAAGAACTGATTTGTGTTTTCTTTGAATCGCCTACAGGGTTGTGCAAGAACCAGGATCACGAACGCCAGAAAAATCTCAGGAGTCGCAGCCTGTCAAAGTGGCTGAGGGCAGTAGCAACATTGCGGACTTCCTAAACGGATTAACCGATCGTGGATTATTAGTTCTTATTATCATTCTGCTTGCTTGTATGTATATAATCAGCAGGCTGATAGAAAAAAGTAAGAGGAAGTAGTATGTGTATGGGGTTATTTATAAATTGTCATCTATGATTGTCTAAGTCAACTTATTTCTGTACTCGTATCCGCTGTCACTTATGCCTTACCGATTTGTTGAGAGATGATGTGACTGACAATTATACATTTGTACAGTGCTTGATGTCGAATAAATTGGTGGTGTTTGTCTTTAAATCTCGGTCGTTGTATCTATATTCAATTTATGAAGCCTTATGCATTCGAACGAGCTCGCAAATTTTTTCCTTTCAACTTTTCATAACCACACCTTTTTTGTTTGCCTCATAGCATACCCGTTTAGCATCTACATGAAGAACTTCCACTCGAAAAGTCGGCGCTCGAATTTATGATGGCATCGTTTCCTGATGTGAAAGAAAAGGAGGAAATGCGAAAAATTGTCGGTCGATATGGCATAACCGGACGCGAGCAGGTATCTGCACTCTGTCATAAAGTAGTTTATATAATCCAGTCGCATCTTTCTAGGTTTGTCCAATGAAGCAGCTATCAGATGGTCAGCGTTGTCGTGTCTCTTTCGCATGGCTTGCATGGCAGCAGCCTCATCTGCTTCTTCTTGACGAACCTACTAACCATTTGGATATGGAATCCATAGATGCCTTAGCAGAGGCTATCAACTGCTTTCCCGGAGGAATGATTCTTGTATCCCACGACTTTCGTCTTGTTAGTCAGGTGTGTCTAATTTTTGTTATTTGATACAAGTCAATCAAGCCTACTGTAAAGCATTTCGTTATGTTTTCTCTGTGAAATTGGTGAGAGTAATGAAACAAATACTCCATATTCAGGGGTCCTATGTTAAATTTTTCGAGCACGATTGTTTGCAACATATGAACTGTTTATGGAGTGTTCAACTATGG